CTCTCCCCAGCCAAAATTGATAGCTAATTGAATTAAAACCTCCCTCATTTGTCGTTTTCATGAATTAATCAACAACAAACAGAGTGAATCTAGAAATCTAAAAATCCCGACAGCCGACCTAGTAATCCAAAGTAGGAACCCAGCTTCACCCTCTTGCTAAAAACCCACGGTCGTAAGTAGAGAATGAGGATAAGCCAGTCATCAACCCACGCACTGACAATGGGAGCGCTAATCCTCACCAACGGTCGATCCTGGTCATTACCATCATCAAACAACCATCTCTTGTCAATAAAAGTCAAAAATGAAAGTCAACACGAAGAAACCAAAGCAAAGAAAATAAGAATGCAACCGAAATTGGAAATGGGGTTTTTCTTGGTTTCGATTAAAACCTTCTTCTAAGGATTTATAGTTTTAAAATATAGTGAACATATAGCCAATACTAAGGTGAACTTTTTGGTGAGATGTGGAGACCGACCAGAGTCGATGGGCGGCAGCCAACGCTGACAAAACAGTAGCATTCGAAGGCCAGCGACAGCAGAGATTTGGAAAGGCCAAAAGCTGGCTAGTGTTCTTGAGGTTTCTTCGGTCTCTGGAAAACTTTATAGAGAGAAGGATATGAGTATATAAATAGAGATAGTGAAAGTCTGAAAAAGGAAGGAGAATTACAAAAATTTTGGCTTTTATAGCTAAACTAAAATGCAGTATTTTGGAGAATCAAGAAACCAAGTCTTTTGAAGAGGATCTGCGTGCTACTCCACAGGCAATCTGACCCAGTTGTGGCCTGCTTCAGACTTCAAGCCAAGCCAACCTGTGAAGTCTAGCTATTTGACCAGTTCAGCCGAACTTAAAGTCGTAAATTATTTTGAATATTCTTTGTCCATTTTTGTTATTTTGCTTATTATTTATCAAAATTTTTTTAAATGAATAAAAAAGATAAATGAATAAAGAAAATATTTTTTAAAAAATATTTTTGGGAAAAAATTGAAAGTATCAATTTTTCTTAAAAATAAGTTTTCAAAAATGAATTTTTGAGGAAAAGTTAAAAGTATCAATTTTTCTCAAAATTAAAGTTTCTAAAAAATATTTTGAGAAAAAGTTGAAAGTATCAATTTTCCTTGCACAAAAGCAATCATTTTTTTCTTTTCTTTTTATTTTCTTTAATGTTAAATAACCTGACGATGGAGCCTCTACAAGTGAAACAGTAGTTTTCTTGTATACTCTTGAGGTGAGGGAATTTTTTCAATTTTTTGCTAAAAGTATTAGAGTCAATTGAGAATAATTTCTAACAATTAATTACTTGATAAATTTTTAAGGCTTATTAGATAACATAAAATTAAGCTGGTACCATCTTTCGATGGGCATTGTGAGGGTGCTATAACCTTCCTCACACGTAACCGAACTCCCAAACCTTATTCTAGTTAGTAGACCCGAGCCTATTCTTGTAGGGACCCTTAAACTTAGGTGTTCCCTGAAAGGATAAATTCCTTAGGTGGCCAATCGCACCTAGATAAAAAAAGATTGGTGGCGACTCCTTAAGTCAATGTCTAGCGATAGATCTCCGGATCTAGACGTTATGACATAACTTTCCTTTTTTTTTCTTTTACTAATGTTTATTCAAACATAACGTAAATAAAAACTAAATTTTGTAGAGTAAAAGACATGTATCCTTATATAGCATAAAAGAATACGTAAAATGCCCACATGATTTTTTTTTAATTTGTTTATCCAAGTAAGAGGTGTAAATGATATATTAGTACTCGTAATTTATTCAGGTCCGATTCGAATAAAACTCAAATTCGGCTCGATTATTATCAAGTCGAGCTAGAGTATAAGTAGCTCGACTTATCGATCAAGTCAAATTCGAGCATTCTTATACCCGGCTCAAGTAGCTCATGAGCTTAATTGAGCTTTATATTTAAATATATTTTTATTATTTTAATTAATAATTTTTTTTGAATTTGAGTTCGAGCTCGAGTACAAATAATCGAGTCTTTATCGAATATAAGAATCAAGCTTATTTTTACATATTAATCGAGCCTAATTGAGTAAGTTCGAGTAGCTTGATTTTTATCTCGAATCAAGCTCGAGCTATAAAAATAAAACTCGATCGAATTTGAGTTAAATTTTTAGTCTCAAAGTTCGAATCAAGTTCAAGCTCGAATTTAATACTGTATCGATTCAAAATCGATCGATTATATCCCTGGTCCAAGTGAGATAAATAATTTACGTCACTTTTACTTTTTCTCACATGTTTTAAACTCCCTCCACTTTAAATTAAACGTCGACATGAATTTTAATTTTCTCACTTTCAAGCATGTCCTTGTCTAGCGTGTTAATATTAATGTGATAGAATAACTTTTATATTTTATAAATATTTAATATATAAATATTATATAAATACATAAATTATAGATTTATTAAAAATTTTAATATTGTTAAGAAATTATATGTTCCTTTTAGGTAGTGCTAATCGATTTTTTTTTTTTTACCTACAACCAAAAAATGTTTTCTCCCTTCATCCGTCAAAAACAAGCAGTGTCCTATACAGGTTTCTCTTTGTTTGTTCAATATGTTTAATTGTATATTGCATTATGACAGTGGGGTAATTCTATTTTCCCTGTTCATAAACATTTCATCCTTTATTGAAATTGCATGATTTCCATCTTTATGATTTTTTTCTCAAACTTCTTACTGTATTTCCTTGTACTAAAACCATGAAGCTTAAAATTCTAGGCTAATATAAAGAGAAAGCATTAGATTGTGGCAGCTATCTAAAAGCTGAAGCTCTCTTTTTGACATTCTCCTCACATATCGATCATGACTTGAAATGTCTAAGGTTTAATTTACAAAACTTTCAAGCAAATCAATATCTCCCAAACAAGTGATGCGAAAATGCGCATTAAAGAAAAGAGCAGGTGAATTCATTGATTAAGTCTCCCAGCAATGATATTGACTCAAAGCTAATGGCTATAAATGTGTTTGATTAGTTTAGTATTTGTGAAGCAACAAAACTGCTACTTCTATTTATCATAAAACTCTAATATGACAATGTAAAATATGAAAACGGGCATAAAAAACAAAAATAATATGAATTGAAATTTTCATAAAAATTATATATTAATTTAATGATTTTTTATTTGAGATATCTATACATTTTTTGTTATAAAAGCATTGGATGGGTATTTTATTTAAGTTTGAGTGGATGGAAAGTAAACTTTTTAACACAAAAATAACTTTTAAAATGACATAATGAGTTGATGTGAACATAGATAAAATTTCTGAGAAGGCTCATCAGGTATTTCATGTTCACACGGATAAATTTCATAAATTTTAATGTGTTTTATTTTTTTATTATTAATTATTATAAATTTATTATCATATATTATTTTTATGTAAATTTTAAGATGTTTTACTTTTTTCATTGTTAATTACTACTTATTATTATAAATTTGTTATGATATATTATTTTTATATTATTGTGTTTGTTGCTTCACACTCAATACTATAATGTTGCTGATAAAAACCTTGACATAGATGGGTTCATGTGTCTCTAACAATTGAATGACTGACTATGAGATGAAAACTGGTGGGCTCTTTTCGTGTTGACCACGACGATAGGGCCACTGTGCTCCATTGCTCTCTCTCCCACTATTGCTTAGTTTACTTGGAGCCCTAGCATCAGCATTTTCATACTTTCTTTCAAGGAACAAAACGAAAACTGCTCGATTCTCTAAGAAAGAGAAAAAACAAAACTAAGCTTCGAGAGAACCACCATGGCCACCGATTCCATTTCCACTCAGCTCTGCTCCGAGGGAACGAAAACTATTAGATTCTCCCAGAAGGAGAAATAACAAAACCATGCCT